AAATAATAAATATATTTTATTGAGCGTTGATTCTTAATTAATTTTGTACTATTCAATCATTCAATTTTTTCGACATTGCTTATCTTTATAGATTGGATGGAATATTTTCAAAATTCCAAGAAATTTTAAATATACATCATTTTTGACAAAATATATATTTGTAACGTAACTGTTGACGAAAGTAGATTTTTCTTAAAGAAATTTTTTTCAGCTGCAGAAAAATCTCTTTGAAGAATCTTTCAGGTAATGCATTTCTATGAGACCTTTCGAATTTCAAAGTAGTATTATTGTAAAAAAGACAAATGTTTTTTTTACATTCAACAATGACGATGATGACGACCAAGGCCATCTGAAATACGAACAACGAAATATTATAATAAATGTTTGCAATAAACTATTGCATTAGTGATAAATTTACAAAATAATAAATATTTCTACATACATTTACCAAAATTTTTTAACATATATTGCATTATTCAAAATACAAATCAATATATCAATGCATTTTGTTTTAATGCATAAAATATAATAAAAGTATAATATTTAATTTTAAATTGAAATTAAATTTTACTACAAATGTAAAATAAAGTAAATACAAATAAACAAAACTTTATTTACGTTACAACCTTATGTAGTTATTATAAATTATTTTATTTTTACAAATATATGGAAAATATTTATAAAGCTATATAATTTAACATATTTCTTAATAAAAAATATAATTATATTATAATTTGTTAAAAATAAAAAGCTCTAAGATGATTTAGTTAATAAACAAAAAATACAATATTTAAAATTTTTTAAATATTTTTTTGTTTGAAATTTATATTATATTTTGTTTGTTATATTTCATATATTATTTAAATTTTATATATATATATATATATATATATATATGTTTGTATATATACACATATATATATATATATATATATATATATTGTTATTTGTACAAAATGTATATGGTTTATATAAAGCATATACAGGGTGTCCGGTAATGGTCGCCTCAACCGTCGTGTGCAGGTAGAGTAAGTTAAACCGAATAAGAAAGTCCTCTACCGTTTTGCGATTTTCGCAATAATTATTGTGTTATTAAATAAAAAAGATCGGCCAATCTAAGCGCGCGACGAGATGAGACGGTCCCCTGTCACACGATACACGGCGCGCGGCAAAGCGGAGGGAGGAGCGAACGCGATGGCTACGAACGGCGCGTAACGCTAAAGCTCCGCGACAACTATTTTCTCTCTTTCCCTTTTCATCTCACTTTCTTTACTAAAAACGAATCTTTTTATTTTCAAAATGGCATCTTGATTAATTATTGTAAAGTACAGTTTTGAAAAATTAATAATCGCATTGACATCATTTTCGACGATGTATCTCATTAAAATTTAACATGCATACAAAGCAAAATAAGAGTCTGATGCAAATCACACCATACACGGAGAGAATTTTCTCTTATTAGAATTTATCCTGAAAATCATGGTAATCGTGGGATAATATGGTGTAGGAAAAATATTATAAGAGTTTTTTTGATTAATATTTACTACATTAAAAATTATTAATATGAACATAGTAAAATTAATCGAGTACATTTTTTATTTTATTGTGGTAGATATTAATATTTTTATTGTGGTAAATATTAATCAGAAAAATTCTTATAAAATTCTTCCAGTACCTTACTGTCCCACGATTACCATGATTTTCAGGGTAAATTTTAAGAGAAAATTTTTTATGTGTAGTATTCGGATACGTTTTATCAAAATTTACGTTTTTAAAATAATCAATAAATGATAATAACGAGAGAGAGAGAGAGAGAGAGAGAGAAAGAGAGAGAGAGAGAGAGAGTGAGGAACGTTATTATCATAAATGATAACGTTCCTCACTCACTCACTCACTCTCTCTTTCTCTCTCTCTCCCTCTCTCATTATTATCATTTATTGATTATTTTAAAAAACGTAAAATTTTGATAGGATGTATTCGAATACTACACAGAGAAAATTTTTTCTTAAAATTTACTCTAAAAATGATGGTAATCGTGGGACAATGGTATTGAAAGAATTTTATAAGAATTTTTCTGATTAATATTTACTATAATAAAAATATTATAGAAAAGAAAGTGAGATAAAAAGGGAAAGAGAGAAAATAGTTGTCGCGGAGCTTTAGCGTTACGCGCCGTTCGTAGCCATCGCGTTCGCTCCTCCCTCCGCTTTGCCGCGCGCCGTGTATTGTGTGACAGGGGGCCGTCTCATCTCGTCGCGCGCTTAGATTGGCCGATCTTTTTTATTTAATAACACAATAATTATTGCGAAAATCGCAAAACGGTAGAGGACTTTCCTATTCGGTTTAACTTACTCTACCTGCACACGACGGTTGAGGCGACCATTACCGGACACCCTGTATATTCTATTATTATTAATAAAAGAAAATGCATAGAACAATGAGCTATGCATACTGAGGCGTTCAAATGTAAATTTAAAACATAAAAAAGAGTGTTATTTTCAAAAACATGTTTTTAATTCCTAAAAAAATTAATTCTACTAAATTTAATTAAATTATTAAAAAAAAATAAAATGTGCAATTCAGAAAATTAATTTGTAGATTTACCTGGTGGCTTTTTAGTTTTCTTTTACCTGTTTGTATATATAAATATAATCAAAATTTTCGTTTTATTATAATTTTTATTGCATTCATTATATTTTTTATATTTTTCATTGATATTGTTTTAATAAAATATATTATATGACGAAGTGATATACATTGTGCGACACATTAATGAAACAAAATTACAAAAAATTACAAAAAAAAGAATTACCTCTGAAGAAGCTTTCTTTCCATAAACTTCTCATATTGAGCTGCATACCTAAATCGTTGGCATGTGCATCTAAAGTTAATGATATCCTCAATAGTGATAGCATTATAGCTGGGAATGAAGCTTATCATTTCCTCTGGTAAGCTTGTTATATTGCTTCTGCCGTTATAAATAGAGAATAACACAGAAGAAAATAATATAAATTAAAATGATTGCAATTTACTATTCGCATACCCAGCCAGAAATGATATTGAATCAATGTCAATTCGTCGTTGAATCGATGTCAATTCATCATTAAATCGACGTCAATCGGGTAAATCGCCGTCGAATCGATGTTGATTCAATGTCGATTTAATCATTCATTTCTGGCTGGGATAATTAGTACTCGGTTTCTCCAAGCGCACAAAACTTACTGAGATACTGCTGGTATACATAGGTTTACCATTTTCAGAGAACACATATGCAGGTTTTATGCACTAGAAACGTTTTCTACACTCTGGCTACTCCTTTTGTAAAATATCTATATAAGTCCTGTATTCCTCTCCACTAAGGTCCTACAAGAATTTGTCATGTCATGCGCAGAAAATAAATTTCAGAGTGGACGAGAATTTCCATTTTACCTGCGCGCCTTTGACACAACAATAGAGGATTATTGTTGTGTCAAAAGCGCGCAGGTAAAATGGAAATGCTTGTCCATTCTGAAATTTATTTTCTGCGCATGACGCGACAAGTTCTTGTAGGACCTTAGTGGGAAGGAATAAAGGACTTATAAAGATATTTTACAAAAGGAGTAGCCAGAGTGTAGAAAACGTTTCTAGTGCATAAAACCTGCACATGTGTTCTCTGAAAATGGTAAACCTGTGTATACCTGCAGTACCTCAGTAAGTTATGTGCGCTTGGAGAAACCGAGTACTAATTATCCCAGCCAGAAATGAATGTTAAATCGACATTGAATCAACATCGATTCGACGGCGATTTACCCGATCGACGTCGATTTAATGATGAATTGACATCGATTCAACGACGAATTGACATTGATTCAATATCATTTCTGGCTGGGTATGCGAATAGTAAATTACAATCATTTTAATTTATATTATTTTCTTGTGTGTTATTCTCTATTTATAACGGCAGAAGCGATATAACAAGCTTACCAGAGGAAATGATAAGCTTCATTCTCAGCTATAATGCTATCACTATTGAGGATATCATTAACATTAAATGCACATACCATCAATTTAGGTATGCAGCTCAATATGAGAAGTTTATGGAGAGAAAACTTCTTCAGAGGTAATTCTTTTTTTTGTAATTTTGTTTCATTAATGTGTCGCACAATGTGCGGCGGTCGTCAACGAGATTTTTGCGGATTAACTAATATGCGGTTTGCGTTATGCGGTCACTGCGAAAAGCGATAAGACGCGAATTTCGGGTGCGAGCTTTCTTTTATGGTTTCCCGAAGAAAATCCACCCTCTCGGGAAGCGCCAATTATTGTGAGCAATTTAAATTGTGTTCGAGGTGGCTCGAGGACACAGCTCATAATTGGCCGCTTCGCTAAGATGCGCAAAGGACTCGCGTTTTGCCATGCGCGCGCGGCCGCTCGCTATTTTTAATTGGTGATTGAGGTCGCGTAACAATTTTGCGCATGCTTTTAGCGCGATAAGTATCCGGCGAAAACGGTTGCGATACCGCTAATTGTTTATATGCAAAGAATGTTTTGTGATGACAGGTTTTAATTTATGACATCTTTTTACCTTGACAAACATACAAAAAAGAACGTGACTTTTATTATTGACGCTGATCGATGATTCTAGAATTTACTAAAAATTTACTTTGCATCTCAAACATTCCCGCCCGCCTTGTCGCAACGTGACAAAAAGTTGGTGGTGGTTCCGGCGCGGATCACATTCCGATAGCGATCGATGGTGGGGCGGGCGCGCCGGCGCGGCGAAATACACGTCGTGATCGCGTGGTGTGAATTGATCAGCTGATTGTGAGCCGATGAGAACACGTGGTGAACGCGTGGTGTGAAACAATCAGCTGAAATGGCGAAAACGCGTGGTTGATGTGAACGGCGAGTGTGCAATGCAGTGAGCGGTGATAATGAAATAATTTTAGTGCGGTGGTGGATGAGATGAGTGAAGTGCGACAGATACTATGATGCATGACGTGATGACTGTGTAGTGAGTGAAATTACAAAGTGTCAGCGTGCGGTTTAGGTGCGTTCACGCCCGGAAGGAAAACAAGCTTGATGAGTGGGCGCACAAGCTCGGACGTGGCCGTTCGGATTGACACCACGCGTACAATCCCATCGTCCCCGGGATGCAATCGCGTTATGCGAGCGAGGGACCATCGGCTTGGTGGGGTGAGCTCGGAGCGCACGAGGCAGAGATCGCCGACGTTGGGTGCAGCTTCGTCCTTGAACCATTTGGTGCGTGAGGCGAGTCCGTGCACATATTCGGATGACCATCGCTGCCAAAAGTGATCCCTCATCAGCTGCAGATGACGCCAGCGTGGCAAGGTGGATATCGTCTGCCCTGTCAATGACGGTTCCGGCACAGCGAGTAGCGGCGCCCCGACGAGGAAGTGACCGGGGGTCAACGCCGAGACGTCCTCTGGATTATCTGAGAGTGCCTGTAACGGACGAGAGTTAAGACAGGCTTCGATCTGGGCGAGGAGTGTGCTCAACTCCTCGAACGTAAGGGTGGTCTCGCTGATCACCCGACGGAGGTGGAACTTGGTCGACTTCACGGCGGCCTTCCAAAGACCACCAAAGTGCGGGGCCGCTGGCGGGTTGAAATGCCAGCGGATTCCTTGAGCGGTGGCGGCAAGGACAATACTCTGACCTTCAACTGTCGCTGCGTTGAAGAGACTGCGCAACGTACGATCTGCCCCGATGAACGTTGTGCCGCAGTCGCTGTAAATCTCAGCACACAGGCCCCTGCGGGAGACGAAACGGCGCAGAGCGGCGATGAAAGCCTCTGAGGTGTAGTCTGAGACAACTTCCAAGTGAATGGCCTTCGACCAGAAACAGACGAAGACTGCGATGTACCCTTTGTGCGCACGATGTCCACGCCCCTTACTGGTCCGGAGGAGGATGGGTCCCGCGTAATCTGAGCCGGTGCTGAGGAACGGACGAGTTGGCGTTACTCGGTCCCGAGGAAGGTTACTCATCTGAGGTTGTGGCGTGGCAGCACGCCATCGAGTGCAGGTTACGCATCGGTGTAGCTGCTGCTTGACGGTGGTTCTTCCTCGAGGTACCCAGAAGCGCAGATGGAGCAGGCCGAGTGTCAGCTGCACACCCCCGTGCAGTGTCCGTCGATGGCAGGAATCGATCACCAGCCGAGTCAGCCAGGATGCCGCAGGGATGATCATCGGATGTTTCTCGTCGAGCGGTAGTTGAGAATTTTTGAGACGTCCTCCGACGCGCAGTACGCCTTGACCGTCGAGGAACGGACTCAACTTCACTAAGTGGCTTTGCGGTAGACTAGTGCGTCCGGAGCAGAGGCCGCGGCTACGTCCGTCGGAAAGTGGAGCGCCTGCACTACTCGCAGCCATCGAAACAAGGCGGCGTCCAGCTCGTCCGGATGCAATGGACGGCCAGGTGTGGCGTCACGTCTCACCGGGTTGAGCCATCGACGACACCACGCAGTGACTCGCAGCAGCCGTTGTAGCGTCGGGAACCGTAGAAGAAGGTCCGGTTTGGCAGTGACTGGCACCTTGACTACCAGACTGGTGGCTCGCTGCTCCGGGAGGTCATCCTCTGGGACGTCGATGTCTGCACCAGGCCATGCAGCCTCGTCCCCTGACAGCCAGGTAGGTCCTGTCCACCACAGTTCATGATTAAGTAAGTCATCAGGGGTAACACCGCGCGATGCACAATCTGCAAGATTTTCTCGTCCGGCGACGTGTCTCCATTGAGCGTCTGGAAGCAGGGTCTGGATCTGAGACACTCGGTTGGCGACAAAGGTTTTCCAGCGGGTGCAGTGTCCGCGAATCCACTGAAGGGTGCAGTGTCCGCGAATCCACTGAATGGTGCAGTGTCCGCGAATCCACTGAAGGGTGACCTTTGAGTCTGACCACAGGTGCACCGGCGTAGCAGTCAAACCGAGGGTAGCGCGTACGTGCAGCATGATCGTGGTAAGTAACGCGGCGGCACAAAGTTCCAATCGAGGTAACGACACCTGCTTGACTGGTGCGACCTTCGATTTTGCCATCAACAGGTTGATTGATGTTTTTTCTGTTGCAGCGTTGCGGATGTATACTACGGCGGCGTATCCTTGCTCCGACGCATCGGCAAACCCATGGAGCTGCAATTGCGACTGGTCATCTCCGGTGTTGAGCCAATGATCCACACGGATGTGATCCAACAAAGGAAGTTGATTTAACAGCTGTCTCCAGCGGTGTGCGTCCTGATCAGGCAGCGGAGAGTCCCAATCCAGCCGTTGAAGCCACGTTGTCTGGATCAGAATTTTGGTTCGGATGACGACAGGCGCTAGCCAGCCCATCGGATCAAATAGTCGAGATGTCTCGGCCAAAACTCGTCTCTTTGTGAGGTCGGTGATTGCACGTGGACGTATGGTGAAGGAGAACCAATCACCTTGAGGATACCATCGAAGACCCAAGGTAGCGTGGCTCTCTCCTTCCCACGAGTGCGGTCCGCGTTGAAGCCGATGTTCCGGTGGAATTCCTGTGAGCACCTGCTGATCGTTGGCAGCCCACTTTCTCAAAGGAAATCCGCCCGCCATGCAGAGACTCCGAAGTTCCTGTTGAAGTTCGATAGCATCCGCTAGGCTGTCAGCACCGGTGACCACGTCATCAACGTAACAGTCGTGTCGCAGCGCCCTGACTCCGCGTGGATACCGTGCCTCTTCGTTTGCAGTAAGTTGCTGAAGAGTCCTGATGGCGAGGAAGGGTGCGCACGCCAGTCCGTAGGTCACGGTCTTCAGCTCCCAGCAAACACCGATATATAATTGTTACATTGCTATAATAAAACGGAATATAACAGGTAATATAACGTGTACGTTACATGTAACATCCATGTTAGTTGTAATTTTCCACTCATAGATGTAACATTTTAATATAACATATATTACATTGTAGTTATATTGTAATTATATACCAAATAGCACATTGATGTATTGATAAGTCAGTGCTATCTTGGGATATAATGACAATATAACTACAATGTAATATATGTAATATTAAAAATGTTACATCTATGAGTGGGAAATTACAACTAACATATACGTTACATGTAACATACTTAAGTATATAACATTTATATATTGTGTTTGCTGGGCTCGTACTCGTGGATGTTGTCCGAGCTGTTGTGGCGCCACAGGATGGTTTGCAGGCGACAATCCTCCGGATGCACAAGAATTTGTCGGTACATTTTCTCGATGTCCGTGACGAAAATGTACCGATGCCAACACCAACGGAGTAAGACGTCAGCGAGTGCTGGCAAGAGATTAGCTCCAGTGAGGAGGTGCGAGTTCAGCGACTCTCCGGACCGTGTGCGTTAGAGCCGTTAAACACAACCCTGAGCTTCGTGGTCGTGCTCGACTCCTTGAGGACCCCGTGATGCGGTAAGTAGCACCTGGGGCTAGAAGCTGTTGTAGACGTGCTAACTTTCTCCATATGTTGCTGGTCTTCGCACTCGTCCATGAAATCTCGATAGAGATCACCGAACCGAGCATCACGGGCTCCCTTCCGCTCCATTGCTTCTAGGAGGCGCTCTGCAGGTCGACGAGTCTCGCTGAGCGATGTCGGCGGTGAAGCAAATGGCAGCCTCACCACGTATCTTCCACTGGATGTGCGCGTGACTGTGCGCACATAGATGTTCTCGCATCTGGCTTCGTCGGCGGTGAGCAAGATCCCAGCTACTGGCTCATGTTCCTCCTCCCAGAATCGTCGAACCAGGTCAGCGAGGTCGTTGTCGGCGGTGCACTGAAACGTGCGGCGATGTCCGTCGGTGGCTGCTGCGTCGTAGCCCCCGGACAGGATCCATCCTAAGCTAGTCTGCTGGGCGATCGGCATGCGTGAGCCGCCCTTGCGAAGGCCTTCCTCAAGGATCAACGAGTAGACCTCTGCTCCAAGAAGTAGCTCCGCAGGGTCGTCATCCAGGAAACGCGGGTCGGCCAATCGGAGTCCTTGGATGTGAGGCCAGCTACGATCCTCGCGTTGGGCGGTGCCTTGTTGCAATGAGATGCGAGGCAGCACAAAAGCAACCACGCGGAGCTCGGCGTTGGTCACGTCGGATGTGATGTCCAGCGTGACCTTGCCACGAGCCGATCCAGAGCGAGTCCCTCCGATGCCAAAGATGGACAGATCCGTTGAAGCTCGAGGCAGACGAAGACGCTGAGCCAGAGCCTCAGAGATGATGGACACCTCGGAGCACTGGTCGATCAAGACTCGAACCTCGTGTGGTGATCCGTAGCGATCAGCGACCTTGACGCGAGCAGTTGCGAGAAGGACGGCCTTGTGGCTCTCAGATTGCCGTGAGGTGGCCAGTGTGGTGGCAAGTGAAGTGGCCTCAGCTGACGGTGTTGACGTGGATGCCCCGTGCAACATGGTGTGGTGTCGCGCGTTGCAAGTGAGGCAATTCTTTTTCGATTGACACCGTGACAAGAAGTGGTTGCCCAGGCAGTTGAAGCACAGTCAGTTGGTCTCCACAAACGTTTTCCGTTCGACCGCGGTCTTGGCCTTGAATTCCTTGCAGGTCATCAATGTATGTTTTTCACGACACAGCGCACACTGAGGCGAATCTGTGCCTTGATGTTTTGTGACGTGCGCTTTGGCGAATCGTGATGCCTCTCCAGGTCCTTTCGTGACACTCCTCGGTCGTGCGGCGTTGAGTGTCAATACCCGTCGACTAATGAAGTCGAGAAGTGCTTCGTTCTGTGGTGGTTCGGTGGAGTCTGATGTGGCTGACTCCCATTCGAGACGAGTGCGTGCGTCGAACAATTCGATGACTAAGTGGTTGAACAGGTCTATCCCGTGCGTGTTGATAGGACGACCGATGCTCTCCTGTGGATTGACGGCGGCGGTGACAGCGTTGTGGATGCGGCTCAGCTCCTCGGCGGTATCTCTCTTCATCTTTGGCACGGCGGTAAACGTGACAAAGTTGGAGCGGATTAACTCTCTTTTATTATCGTAATGCTTGTCCAAGATTGCCCAAGCGCGATCGTAATTGTCACTTGTGACAGGTAGTGACTTTATCAACTTTTCAGCCTGACCTGTCAGACATGAGCGGAGGTGGTGAAGGCGCTCTATGTTCGAGATGGAATTGCTGCTCACAACGGACAGGAAGAGATCGCGAAATGAAGGCCAATCAGCGTAGGCACCAGAGAACGGCGGCAACTTGATGCGCGGCAGCGAAGACTTTGATGCGACGTCGATGGAGATACGTTCGGCTTCCGAAAATGTTCGGCGTAGCCATCCAAAGTACTGCGTTGTGCCACGTAAAGATTTTCCGTATCTCCATGCAACTCCGACTTGTAGTAGTCGCTCTCACTAAATTTCTCTTTCAGAGCCGCACGAATGAGATCATGCTGTGCCTCGAATTTCGTCCACAGCTGATCTAGGATTCTGGTGCGTGTAGATACGGCACTGGTGGTGATGTTGGTGGTGCCCAGCTTTTTCAAATATTCCACGGAGCGTGAAATGCGGACCTGGATCTCACGTTGACAATCGATCAAGGTGTGCACATCCATGTCAATTCACGAACTCACTAACTGCACGAAGAGACACGTTCACAAACTTGCAGATGCCGGCACGACCTATCCGGCTCGAAGGACCAGAAATATGTTCGCGAACGCGCTGCGTGAAAGAGGATCGCGCGATACAACAGGATAAGTCACTTTTTTGTATCAAAAGGTTTAATTTCAACACACACTTAATTACAAAATACATTTGAACAAGACTTATTACAACAGTTAATTATTTCAGAGAAAACGTAATCAAGATCAAAGTGCGGAATAAGCGGCGGTCGTCAACGAGATTTTTGCGGATTAACTAATATGCGGTTTGCGTTATGCGGTCACTGCGAAAAGCGATAAGGCGCGAATTTCGGGTGCGAGCTCTCTTTTATGGTTTCCCGAAGAAAACCCACCCTCTCGGGAAGCGCCAATTATTGTAAGCAATTTAAATTGTGTTCGAGGTGACTCGAGGACACAGCTCATAATTGGCCGCTTCGCTAAGATGCGCAAAGGACTCGCGTTTTGCCATGCGCGCGCGGCCGCTCGCTATTTCTAATTGGTGATTGAGGCCGCGTGGCAATTTTGCGCATGCTTTTAGCGCGATAAGTATCCGGCGAAAACGGTTGCGATACCGCTAATTGTTTATATGCAAAGAATGTTTTGTGATGACAGGTTTTAATTTATGTCATCTTTTTACCTTGACAAACATACAAAAAAGAACGTGACTTTTATTATTGACGCTGATCGATGATTCTAGAATTTACTAAAAATTTACTTTGCATCTCAAACATATATTATAACTTATTAGAACTTACATAATCTATACATAAATCTTTAAAGCTCATGTCAAAGTCGCGTTGTTGAAAGTTCAATTGGCCAAATATATATTCCTCGAGTGTATCCATAATTTGCGTACTTTCACTTTCGTTCCAATAATTATCATCGATATTGTTGTTTTTCCAATAGGAAAAAGTTTTATCAGACGTGGAGAATATCGAATGTTCAGGATGCTTCTCTCTGAGACAATTCAGTACCTCTTGTACGATTCTATCCAATGATTCATTTACATCCGAGTAACATACATCTCTTCGCGGTTGAATATATTGTATCAGGAGAGTAGAAGTTTTTTCCAAGAGTTGTTCTCTTTCAAGTTTTTTTTGAAGACTATCCAATTCACTTCCTACCAAAGATAACTTTATATAGAGAGATTTATTTATATCGCAATATCTTTCGATTGTATCGCGGTCATTTTTCCTAAAATAATTCATGTATTAATGTATTAATTAACCAATTCAATACATTAATCTGTGAAAACAATAGCACTGTAGTATATATTTGTAGGATTGTTAACTCTATGCGTTGTTAATCATATGTTATTATAATTTGATGTATACGCGCATTTAGATAATATAATATGCGAGTCTTTCGAGGATTCGGGTTTTCGTCGGCTCGAATTCCTTTGTAGAAAAACAAGAGTGGGGACGGGATCAGCTGAGCGGCTGAGCGACTTGTAAGAGAGACGAGGGGCAGTCCGCTATAAGCCTCGAAAGGAGAAACAAATAAAATACAAACCTTGATTCTCTAAATATTTGTGCAGAATATATCTTATCTCCAATACCGAATCCTACATTTGGGGGCTCGTCCAATCTCATAAAACAGAGTGAAAAAGAGAGACTAAGACGGTAGACGAACGCAAAAGTAAAGACGGTAAAGACGAATTTTAAAACAACGAAGTGTAGTGAAAGTGTGTTACGACGATGGAGAATTTAGCACAGATTCCAGCGATAAGAGGAAAAATTAAGACGGCAACAAAGGCCACTATAACGGCATTACATAAACTTATCTTTGAGGAAGAAGGCGATCGAGGAAATCGACAGCGTATACGTGGATTCCCAGGTTTCGATTTTTGCAATGACTCAGAAGAATTTCGTGCTAAACTCGATTATACAAGAAGGCTAACTATCGGAGACTTGATATCAATCTGTAATCTCCTGGGTTTAGACTATACTGGGAATGCAGAGATATTAAGAAAACGCATAGTACAAACATTAATGGATATAAATTCTTTGCAACAAGTGGCAGTAATTTCTGACGACGACGACGATGGAAAGCCAGGGGATGATGACGTGGCGGTCAACGAGAGAGAGGCAAACATTAACAACATACAGGTTGACATTGGAAACAAATGAGGCAGCGGCAATATTTCACGGTGAACAAGGACAAGAAAACAGAAATCACGTGAACGAAAATAATACAAGATTCACACTAAGTTATAAGGATGTCGAGGATTCGGTACCATCTTTTGACGGAGGTGATTCTTATTCCGTGCAGCGGTGGATATCAGATTTTGAAGACGCAGCGTCTATGTTCCAGTGGAATAATTTACAAAAATTAATTTTCGCAAAAAGATGTTTGAAAGGATTAGCGAAATTACAATATTTGTTCAGAGTGAAGGTGTAATAAAGTCCTGGACGGAATTGAAGACGGCCTTAACGAAAGAATTTTCTATGAAAATTACCAGCGCGCAATTGCATAAAATGCTCCAAGAACGCAAAATAAAAAGAGAGGAATCCATAAAGGAATATTTTTTGGCAATGAAAGAATTGGCCTCCCGCGGTACTCTCGAAATAGATGCTCTGTTCGATTATGTAATAGATGGCATACAAGACGAAACTCATAACAAAATGATGTTATTTGGAGCCAAGACTATCCGAGAGTTCAAGGAAAAATTAAGGACCTATGAAAAAATTAGAAAGGCCTACCACGACAAATCTACGAAGTATTAAAAAGACAAGAATGATAGACCAAGGCAAACATTCGGTAGCACAACACGAGGGGACGGCAAGGAAAGAGCAACGATTTCTGACAAACAAAAAACGGAGACTCGATGTTTCAACTGCGGCATATACGGACATCACTCTAAAGACTGTAAGAAAAAAGCGCTAGGTAAGAAATGCTTCAATTGTAACGAATTCGGTCACGTAGCAGCTAAGTGTTTGGCGCCAAAAAATTACGCGCGAGATTCTAAATCATCGACAGTTAATTTAGTGACGTATTCTCAAAGAATCGAACCGCTTAAAGAAATTTTTATAGACAATATTAAACTATTAGCGTTAATAGACACCGGTAGTCGTGTTAGCTTCATTCGCGAAAATATGTTTCGTAAATTAAAGGGAACGCTTGTACAGTGCGCGCGAACATTTCTCGGTTTCGGCAAGGGCGAATCTAGGTCGCTGGGATATTTTCAAACAATCATTTATATCGATCATGAAGATTATCCAATGACGTTATATGTTGTTCCTAGCGATGCGATGGAAGTCGATGTTGTTATCGGAAGAGACATACTTGAGATGGCTGTACTTAAATTTGATCAAAATAAGGTTATTATTACCAAAATTGTTCCTACAGTATTTATAGCGCATATAGATTTGCCGGAAGAAACAAAAGTTGACCTCGGACTTATTCGCGATGAGAAAATACGTGATCGAGTGGAACAATTAATTAATTCATATCAACCGAATATTTGCAAATCGACGGGTATTAGATTGAGTGTGTCTCTGAAGGATAGCAAACCGATTTCACAAAGACCGCGCAGACTGCCCGCACCGGATAAAAAAATCGTCGAAGAACAAGTAGCCGAGTGGCAAAAAAACGGAATTATTGAAAAGTGCTCTTCCGAATATGCGAGTCCAGTGGTAGTGGCAAAAAAGAAGGATGGTTCTCCGCGTGTATGTATCGACTATCGTCCGCTAAATAAAGTTATAGAAAAAGATAAGCATCCATTACCTTTAATCAAAGATCAAATAGACAAATTAAAAGACGCGCGTGTATTTAGTACATTAGATCTAAAAAATGGATTTTTCCATGTCACAG